ACTTAGCTGTCTACTGTTAAAGGGCATTCAAGCGTTTCCGGGTTGGGGACTATTATTAACAACTAGAGGCCCGATGCACAAAGATTCCTGCAAGAATAGTCCTTCCTTCCCCTGGCTGCCGGCACCGGCTTCCCTCCGGCACCTGGGACCCAGGCTGCTGCGCTCTGGCCACCACCTCCACCCACTGCAGCCTCTGGGAGCAGGTTCCCACCCCTGTGTGTGTCCACTGGGGTGGGGGCGTGCTCTGATCCTGCACATCTCCCACTGGGGATATGCCCACAACCAAGGTACATGCCCTTGACCGGAATCGAACCCGGGACCCTTCAGTCCACAGGCCGACGCTCTATCCACTGAGCCAAACCGGTTTTGGCATGGTCATGACTATTAAGGCTTGGAGCTGGTCGTGACTGTAAAGGCATCCTGGACTAATTTGCATATTACCTCTTTATATATTCATAGATGCTACGAAGAACATTCTCCTAGACCGTATGTGCATTCTTTTCCTCTAGAGCAGCGGTTCTCAACCTGTGGGCCGAGACCCCTTTGGGGGTCGAACGACCCTTTCACAGGGGTCGCCTAAGACCATCGGAAAACACGTCTATACTTACATATTGTTTTTGTGATGAATCACTATGCTTTAATGATGTTCAATTTGTAACAATGACATTGGGGATCACCACAACATGAGGAACTGTATTGAAGGGTCGCGGCATGAGGAAGGTTAAGAACCACTGGTCTAGAGTTTTATACTCGAATTTGGAATCTCTGTCCAGAGGTTTATGCATCTTCACCTTTATTATGCCACGTGGTTTCTCATTTTGTACTAATCTGTTTTCCAACCAGCAGCTTCTGAGAGTTCATTTCTGCTGGCGCTTGATGTTCTCAAACTTTCAAACACTCCCATTGGAGGGTCAGAGGGGAGGAGGGTGTTTTGGTCTGTGCATGACTGATTAACTAGAGGGGGAACGCTTTCTCCCGCATTGATTGACTACTTGCAGCTCCTCGTTTGTCAAGTGCCTGCAAAGTCTCTTGCCCATTTTCTATTGGGTAGTAGATCTTTTTATTTTCCTTCTATTGATCCTTTGAGTTGTTTGTAGATTTGAGTACAGAGTCTTTGTCATTTTTATTATTTATTTTTAAAATATATTTTTATTGATTTCAGAGGGAAAGGGAGAGGGAGAGAGAAAGGTCAATGATGAGAGAGAATCATGGATCGGCTGCCTCCTGCACGCCCCACACTGGGGATCGAGCCCGCAACCCAGGCATGTGCCCTTCACCGGAATCGAACCTGGGACCCTTCAGTCCGAAGGCTGACGCTCTATCCACTGAGCCAAACCAGCTAGGGCTCTTTGTCATTTTTAAATGCTGCCAATATCTTCTTCTGTGGCTTGATTTTGATTTATTTATTTTTAATATATTTTTATTGATTTCAGAGAGAGGAAGGGAGGGGGAGAGACAGATAGAAACATCAATGATGAGAGGGAATCATTGATCAGCTACCTCCTGCATGTTCTCCACTGGAGATCAAGCCCAGAACCTGGGCACGTGCCCTTGACTTGAATCAAACCTGGGACCCTCCAGTCTGCAGGCTGATGCTCTATCCACTGTGCCAGACCATCTGGGCTGTGGCTTTCTTTCTTTCTCTTTTTTAATATATTTTATTGATTTTTTACAGAGAGGAAGGGAGAGAGATAGAGAGTTAGAAACATCGATGAGAGAGAAACATCGATCAGCTGCCTCCTTTAAAATCCAAGATATATCATTGTTTGAACATGTGATGCCTGCAATAAATGCTATCAGGGTTGCAGGGGTCCTCAAACTTTTTAAACAGGGAGCCAGTTCACTGTCCCTCAGACCGTTGGAGGGCCGGACTATAGTTTAAAAAAAACCTATGAATAAATTCCTATGCACACTGCAGCAGCAAAAACACCCAGCGGGCCGGATAAATGTTTTCGGCGGGCCGCATGTTTGAGGACCCCTGCATAGTATTGCCCTCCTACTAGCTTTGTGTAGGTTGCAGGGATTTACCTACTGGCGCATCACTAGCAACTGAAGTTTGGCAAGATCATCCATAGTTGCCGAAACCGGTTTGGCTCGGTGGATAGAGCGTCGGCCTGCGGCCTGACGGGTCCCGGGTTCGATTCCGGTCAAGGGCATGTACCTGGGTTGCGGGCACATCCCCAGGGGGAGATGTGCAGGAGGCAGCTGATCGATGTTTCTCTCCCATCGATGTTTCTAACTCTCTATCCCTCTCCCTTCCTCTCTGTAAAAAATCAATAAAATATATTTTTAAAAAAGGATCATCCATAGTCAATGATCCCACCTGCATTTTCAGCAGCATTCCATCCTGCTGTTCACCAGCCTCTCTTCTTGATCTTTTTTTTTTTTGAGCTCACGCATACGAATGTCTAACTAACGTAGCTTCTTCCATATCTCAACGCACCTCAGAAATCAATAGATTCAAACCGAAACGTGTGATCCTTGGCCCCATCTTGTCAGTTCTCTGCGATATTCCTTATGTCAGTGAGTGGTATCCCATCCATCTCGTTGCTCAAACCAGAAACCTAAGAGTCATCCCTACACCTCTCTCCCCCTCATTCTCCGTGTTGAATCCATCCCACGTTCTGCCAATCCTGCCCCGTCATGTTTCTCCATCCACCCATCTCTTTCCACGTTCACCATTCTGCTCCTATCAACACAACCATTACGCTTGTCTGATGCCAAGTTTCCTGTCTATTCTATCAGCATTCACCTGGCCCTTTGCCAATTGGTTCTCCGCAAACAGCCATTTGGAGCGATGGTGAAATCGATCATTTGAACTAACTCTTCTGCCAACAGGAAAAGAAAACACAGAGAGATGAAGCCAGCATTGGGAGCCATGCCTAGAGGTGTCTACTGTTTGCAGAGCAGCCTGAGAATTTCAGCAGAATTTCATTGGACTCAAGAGGCTATAGGGACAACATTTGGGCTTCAGAACACCCACCTGACTTCCTGCTTAGGAGGACTTACTAAATCTCCAGGCTTTGGGTCAGGAACTCTAAATAGATACATCTCAGGAGAAGGGTAAACTGGAAAGAAATCAATGATCCAAGGGACTAAAGCCTATCTAGGAAAGTCCTCTCTAGTCCTGACTGGATTACATTCATCTGGGCTTGCTGGTCAACAGAGCCATCTCCTAGAGGCAAACTGAGTCCTGAAACACTCCCTTCTACGGACAAATGGCATCACCATAAGCCTCGAATTTCCTTAATAATTTTCATATGTATTGTTCCTACCCAAGGATATGTTTGTTTTTTATTGACTTTTAGAGAGAGAGGAAGGGAGAAAGAGAGAAAGAGAAAGATCCATGTGAGAGAGAAATATTGATCATTTGCCTCCCTTCTGTGTCCTCATTGGGGATTGAACTTGAAACCGAGGTATGTACCCTGACCAGGAATCGAACCCGCAGCTCTCTGGTGTACATACAGGACAGTACTCCAACCAACTGAGCTACCAGGGCCAGGGCCTTCATATATATTTAAAAATGTTCTTAATAATTTCATACTGCATGATTCTCTTATAAAGACAACTAAAACTACTCCACAATATATGCATATACATAATTTTAAAAGTATATATATATTAATAGTCTGTGTATATATGCTACACATAAAACTTTTAAATACTTATATATTAAAGGGAATGATAAACACAGGATTCGGGGCAATACTTATAACAGGTGAGAGAGGAGCACAGAGGTGGATATAAGTCTGTCAATGTTGTAATTCTCATGTTGAGTTCAAAGGTTTCAGCTTCTGTTTATTATTGTTAATGAACAAACAAGCAAAAAAGTAAATAAAAATGTCTTCTCCAAGCCTGACCGGTTTGGCTCAGTGGATAGAGCGTCGGCCTGCGGACTGAAGGGTCCCAGGTTCAATTCCGGTCAAGGGCATGTACCTTGGTTGCGGGCACGTCCCCAGTGGGAGGTGTGCAGGAGGCAGCTGATCAATGTTTCTCTCTCAATGTTTCTAGCTCTCTATCCCTCTCCCTTCCTCTCTTTAAAAAATCAATAAAATATATTTTTTAAAAAGTCTTCTCCAAGATGAGTCATAATAATGTGTCCTGAGATAAAGATGAGGATAACTCCTGTTTTGTGTAACTGAGGTTCAACTAAAAGGCAAAAAAAAAAAATTGGTAGATGTTACTGACATTCGACTAGAATGATTCGTAATAGGGCCGATAAAGAGCATTTTACTCTAACTTCATTTCCTCTGCTCACTTTCTGTGAAATGTGCTTAATCGGGAACAACTGTCTACATTTTTAGTTGTTACACTAGCAAAAAAAAAACCCAACAAAAAACATGACTGAAACTACTAAGATGTGAAGATATAAATGGAAAGGAAAATGTGTGCACACCACTCTGAACCCACCACAAGCTCTGGTTGAAAGGACAGCTGGTTCCTGAGCATAAAGAGGGAAGAAGGTGTGGAGAGAAGTGAAGACTTTGGGGAGAGGGGTTAAACTCCTGGGAGCAGTTAAAGCTTCCAGGAAGCTCTTGGGGTTAAGCCTCGATAGAGAGAGGACAGTTCTACGAAGGACATGGGCAACGCTGAAAAGTCTCTATATTTGTTTTGAAGCACCAAAAGCCCAGAGCACTCAACTGTTTTGATCCTAAAATAATTTGTAAAAATCAGAGTTTTATTGGCCATTGCCTATTGGTGTGTATGTGGAGCTCTAAGGAGATTCCTTGGTTACTTAATTATGGATTTACCCAGTTTTCTGTTAGTTCATTTCTCCCACTTTCTTTTTCTGTCTCCCCCCCTACTTCCTTCTTTACAGGTCATGTGCTTTGCCCCCTCCACCCCGCCCCGCCCCCGCCCATGCATGATATTGAGGCCTAAGTTACCAATGAAAACCACTTGAGACCTAACTGGTTTGGCTCAGTGGGTAGAGCGTCGGCCTGCGGACTGAAGGGTCCTGGGTTTGATTCCGGTCAAGGGCATGTACCTTGGTTGTGGGCACATCCCCAGTAGGGAGTGTCCAGGAGGCAGCTCGTTGATGCTTCTAACTCTCTATTCCTCTCCCTTCCTCTCTGTAAAAAATCAATAAAATATATTTTTTAAAAAATTTATTTTTACAGATGAATAAAGTGTGGCTCTCCTCTCTGTAAAAAAAATCAATAAAATATATAAAATAAAATAAAATAAAATTTAAAAAGTTTGAAAACTTTTTTTTTTTTTTATGAAATGATGAGGTATGCTCTCAAGGTGCTCAGCTGGTGTGGTTCGATATAAGAGGATTCGCTAAATTTCTGCTGATTCCCACGGGACCTCTCCGGCCATGTGGCCAATGATCATGAGGAAACCGTAACTTTAGGTTTATAAATGCTGACCCTAAAGGGGAGGGGGATCAAGGTCATGACCGTTTTATGCACTTCATACCTCTTTATTGTAATGTGTTTGAAATCAACCTGATAATGTCACGTCAAACAGGTGTCAAAACTAAAATAAAAGAGAAAAAAAAATAAAGGAAAAAAACAGGTGTCAACTTGTCAACTACCCTGACTTAAGGAAGCATATAAAACTCTTCTTGAAATCAGTCTGAGCTGGTCACCACATGACTTTGGAAAAGCCTGCGTCTACCTCCTGCTCTTAGAATTACAGCTCGGTCTCAAGAATGTGATCTTCGGACGTATCCATGTAGTGAGGGCTCAAGTAGCAGCTGAGGCTGACTTGCCAGGACTGGAAAGCTACCCCAACTCCTCGCCGCCAGGAAAGTAGAGATGGTTTTTCAAATCCCTTTCTCAAGTTGGTCCTTCCAAGGACTACACCCGCGTGATACCATTCTGATGAGAAACAGTTCCTGCTTCTGATCCACATAACTTCTCAGGAGATGATTCCCGACCTGGTTCTGAAAGCAAACTCATGCACGCAAAATATGTTGGTGTGTTTGATTGGATAAGGGCACTGGGGTAACCTTTCTCTCTTTTTTTTTTTAATCCTCCCACTGGGGATGTGCCCGCAACCCAGGCACACGCCCCCGACCGGAATCGAACCCGGGACCCTTCAGTCCGCAGGCCGACGCTCTATCCACTGAGCCAAACCGGTTTCGGCCTTTGGTTGATCTCTTACCCCCTCACCGCCCCACCCCCACCTCATAAGCTGGACAGTGGGGTAACCTTTATAAAAGAGAAGTGAGCAGGTCCCCACGATAAGACAGTCATGAGCCCCATGAAGTTAAAAACCTTCTATGGGGAATGAACTATGCCAGTGGTCAGCAAACCGCGGCTCTTTGGCCCCTTGAGTGTGGCTCTTCCACAAAAATACCACGTGCGGGCGCGCACATACAGTGTGATTGAAACTTGGTGGCCCTTCGTGGCCCATGCGCAGAAGTCGATATTTTGTGGAAGAGCCACACTCAAGATGCCAAAGAGCCGCATGTGGCTCGCGAGCCACAGTTTGCCAAGCCGCAGTTTGCTGACCAGTTTGCATATTATGCAAATCAATGATTTTCATAGAAGGCACCTGTGATACAGGCAAGCACAGCCCTGTGGGCATTTACAGAAGGGAAGAGAGCTTTAAGGGCGGTCCCCCTGCTTCCTGGAGGTAATACCGTTGCAGGGGAAGGGGTCGGGGAGCTGCATTTCACACAAGGAGGAAAAATCAATACAGTGAATTTACCAAATGTTCAGATGAACATTCTTGAAGTATTGTTTTAGCATCTTTTTAAACAAATATTTTTGTTGATTTCAGAGAGGAAGCGAGAGGGAGAGAGAGATAGAAACATCAATCATGAGAAAGAATCATGGATCAGCTGCCTCCTGCACGCCCCCGACTAGGGATCGAGCCCCCAACCCAGGCATGTGCCCTGACCCAGAATCGAACTGCGACCTCTCGGTTCCTGGGTCGATGCTCAACCACTGAGCCACACTGGCCAGACTGTTTCCACGTCTTTTGTAGTACTCACACTGAAATCATTTATTTCACTCCTGAATCCCCAGCATCTAAAACAATGCTGGCACATAGCAGGCACTCAATAAGATTTTGTTTAACACATGCGTTCTCATTTTATATGCAAAACTTTGATGGGAAAGAATTGAACCAAAGCCCAGCATGAAGAAATGACAATATCCGTCACATGCATCGACCCACACGGCATGTATATAGTGTTCCTTCGCGTTTTGAAATGTAGAGCCAGCAATGTTAGAGGAACCGTCATAGTATTTTGGGGGAAAGACAAAAAGGGGAGCAGAATTAGAAACTAAAATTAGCATATACTATAGAAACACACGCGTCATATGACATACACTGCCTCGCACAGTGTCTGGGACAGACTGGGCCCTCGACAGATTTTCACTGAGCAAATAGATAAATGAATATCTGTGAGCTAACTGCCTACAAATGGTTAGCCCAAAGGTGAAAAGAAAATCGTTAAATTTTAACTAATGGGGATATTCTGTTGAATTGGGGGGGAGGGGGAATAGAGTTTGCTTGAGGCAGTCCCATGTTAAACAGAACTGGCTCCAGAGGCCCCTCCCACATCTGGCTACATGTGCGCATGTCCCCTCCAGGCCATCCCACCTGCTCAGTGAGGGGGTGAGCATTCCAGTGTGGAGGTGCTCCATTAGATCAGCCGGGTAAGTCAGTCAAACCAAGTAGGTATGACTCCCAATGGCTCAACTAACTAGCGGACGCCCAACGTGATCATTTTTCACTAGCTCCATATTTCTTGACACTTGTTCTTCTTAGACAGTATATTAACCAAAGTGAGGCAAATGTTTTCATTAAAACATTTACACAACTGAAGGACTTATATGCGTGCATATAAGCATAACCAATGGACACAGACACTAGGGGGGTGAGGGCATGTGCTGGGGGTAGTGGTGGGGATGGCCGGGGAAAGGTCAATGGGGAAAAAAGGAGACTTATGTAATACTATGTGTAATACTTTAAACCAGGGGTCCTCAAACTACGGCCCCGTGTTTAACGCTAAATCAAAATGACGAGGAAAAACAGACACATTTGCATTTAATGGAAATAAAATACCTCCCCCTAGAAGAAAGCAAATTCACACTAACACCACCTTCAAGATACATCAGAAAAGTGTTCAGGAGAAAACGAACCATTCGTACAAGTGAGTAAGAGTCATTGCGAATCATGACCGACCGTTCAGGTAACACCACCACCAGGAATAACAGAGAAATCGGTGCTTACCAGACCACCCCCAATGACAGCTACTTTTTTCCTTTGAGAGTCTGAGGCATCCATGGCTGCTGAAGCGCTCTCCCCCGATCACCGTGGACACCCTGTCTCCCACACACAGATTCCTCCCGTCTTTATATACTGCCCCAGCCAGCCACAGTGTTTGAGCAGGCCTGGGAGGCAGCATTTAACCCCTTCGTCGCCCAGAGCACAGTCAACTCTGCTTCAAGGGAAAAAAAAAAAAAAAGAAAGAAACTTGATGACCTGAACCAAGACTGAAAATCCAGCCAAGCGGAGACACGCCCTGTCTGAAGGGCAGACACAGACAAGTTTGAACGACAGACTCAGAGCTTCTCTTCTTCTTTTTCTACCACATTCGTTTTCTTTCTTACTTCCGTTTTCCATTCAGAGTTAACCATGAATGAAACTCCCCTCGTCTGAAGTCCCCAAGCATCTTAAGCTTCTCTTAGAGAGTGACATGGTATGACTCCATCATCCAATCATGAATTATTTTTGCCTTTAAAGAGCCACATTTCAGGAATTTCACCTGAAGGCGCCTCACAGACTGTCTTTAAAGACTCTACCTGGGCAAATGTTTTGCCTACTCTTTTTTTTTAATATATTTTATTGATTTTTTTACAGAGAGGAAGGTAGAGGAATAGAGAGTTAGAAACATCGATGAGAGAGAAACATCAATCAGCTGCCTCCTGCACATCTCCCACTGGGGATGTGCCCGCAACCCAGGTACATGCCCTTGACCGGAATCGAACCTGGGACCCTTCAGTCCACAGGCTGACGCTCTATCCACTGAGTCAAACCGGTTTCGGCTGTTTTGCCTACTCTTAATATTCTCCCAGCAAGATTTCCAACTGCGTATGTGACCATACTTTCTTTTATTTTTATTTTTTGCATCAGACGCTAGAAACTTTAGAATCTAATGTGTGCATCATCACTAGGGGCGATGATGAATAATATTCTCCTTGTAAACTCATTCCTGGCTTTATGTCATATCACTCTCCACTTCTTTGCCTTCTCTCATCTTATTTTAAATATATATATTTAACATGAGGTGGTGTTAAATAAAGAACATAAAAAATGATGCTTCTTCACTTCCCAGGAAGAGCAGGGAGAATCCAGAATGGCTTTCCCCCTGGTTAAGAGCTAGAGTTGAGAATCACTCAATACTGGCCCCTTGTGGATGAGTATAGAGTTGTTAGAAGGTTTGTTGTTGGGTATTTCATTCATTCATTCACAAGGTATAAAATTCAAAAGACACAAAAGGGCACACAGTGAAGAGTCATTTTTATAACCCTGCTCTTGGGCCACCTGTTTTTCCTGCCCATAGCAAACCACTATTTTGGGGTTGGTTACCCTAGTCTTCTAAGCAGCTCTCTCTCCCTCGACACAGGGAATTTCTGGTTTTTGCAGGTTTGTCCTGTATCTCATTGTCATTTTAATTTGCATTCTTTGTTAACAAAGTTGCGCACCTTTCACTTGTTTATTCGCAACTTGCTTTTCTTCTTTTGTATACGGGTGCTTATATTTCTTTGAATAGTCTCCCTTTTTAAAAATGCCATTGAATATGAGTTTTATTCTTTATCTATGTTGCAAATATATTACATTCTTATAAGGATATAGTTTTATTCATATATGTGTTGCCTTTTTGCTTTCTTAGTGGTGTCTTTACAGGAAAAGATATTCTTAATTTTAACATATTTGAATTACCCAGTTTTCCCTTTGTGACTAGTGTTTTTTAATCATTTTATCAGTTTTTGTAATCATGAGATCATAAAGATGTTCTTCTATGTTGTCTTCTAAAAGATTTTTATTTTTAGGTCTATCGTCAACATGGAGTTAATTTTTATGCATGCTGTGACATAGCCCACATTTATTTTATTTTCCAAATGAATACCCAATTTCCCCCAAACTTCTGAATAAAAAGAATTTCCTTTTCCCACGACTGCCTTTGTCATAGGTCCAGTGTTTATATATTTATGGGTCTGATTCTAGGTTTCTATTTTATTTCATCTATTCTACACTTGCCTATACCAGTGCCAATTCCACGGCCAAATTACTTTGGCTATACAATAACCCTTGATTGTTTGAGCAACAGAGAGAGAAACATCAATGATGAGAGAGAATCATGGATCGGCTGCCTCCTGCACGCCCCCTACTGGGGATCAAACACACACCCCAGGTGTGTGCCCTGATGGGGAATCAAACTGGGTCAATGCTCAACCACTGAACCACACCGGCGAGGCCTCCAGGAATGACTTTTGCCTTGAAGTTTAATTGTCTGATATCAGTATTACCTTTCTATATTAAGCTAGCATTTAGATATGATATCATTTTCAACCATTTGATGTCAGCTGTTTTTTTTTGCCTTGAAGTTTAATTGTCTGATATCAATATTACCTTTCTATATTAAGCTAGCATTTAGATTATTATATCATTTTCAACCATTTGATGTCAGCTGTTTTAAAAGTCGCCTTTTAAACAGCGTTCAGGTGAGTATTTTAAAAGTCCAACAGGAGAATACTTCACAGTACTCTTTGCTTTCCAGGAGACACTGCACACTTCCACTTCTCTCCACCTGTATTTATAAATTTAACAAGTCAGCGTTAGTGGCAGAGGTTAATGAGTGCTGAGGTTAATAAGTACCGTGTTTGCTCGGTAGTTTTCATCATTCTCCTACTGCTGACATTGACAGAATATGGCCTCACTGCGCTCGATGAACTCACTTGCTCAATCAATGTTTGTTCATTTCACCAGGCCCTTCCCGCTGGCAGCTCTCTGCCTCGAGAGCCTCCTCTCTCTGTTCTCAGTGTTTAGGTCTCAGTCAAATACAACATCCTTAGTCTCATCAATTCTACCAAAAAAGTGCTATCTGCCCAGCTGGCGTGGCTCAGTGGTTGAGAATCAACCTATGAACCAGGAGGTCACGGTTCGATTCCCGGTCAGGGCACGTGCTGGGGTTGCGGGCTCCATCCTCAGTAGTGGGCGTGCAGGAGGCAGCCAATCAATGGTTTTCTTTCATCATCGATATTTCTCTCTCCCCATCCTTTCCTCTCTGAAATCAATAAAAAAATATTTTAAAAAAACACTCTGATAAAAGTCTATTTAAAAAAGATGCTATCCCCTCATTCTCTAAATAGGTTCCTGTTTATTTCTTTTTATTGCGTTCACCATTATATGAAATTTACTATTGTTATGAAACCTGATTTACTTACTTATTTGAAGAACAAATAAATATTAGTGGACATGAGGGGAGAAAAATAGATGGACTCCAGAAGTAGAGTAGCTAGGCTTTGTTGGAGAATCGGGCATAGTGTATGCAGGTGTTGGGGAATGGGGGCAGAATTCAGGAATCAAAGACACCCCCCGCCTCTGCCCAGGTTTCTAGCTTAAGTAACTGGTGGTACCACATACTGCATGTGAAATAATGGCATGGAGGTGGTAATTGAGATTTATCCTCTGGGATATATTAAGTTTGAGATGCGAATATTGAATTAGGTAATTAAAATATAAATATTCAACATACAGTTGGATATATGAATTTGGAACATAGAGGAGAAGTCAGGGCTGGAAAAATAAGTTTGAAGTCATCAGCACATCAACATAGAAATGGTATTGAAAACTATGAATGGCCCTGGCTGGTTTGGCTCAGTGGATAGAGCATCAGCCCGTGGACGGAAAAGTCCCAGGTTTGATTCCAGTCAAAGGCACATGCCCAGGTTGTGGGCTCGATCCCCAGTAAGGGGCGTGCAGGAGGCAGCTGATCCATGATTCTCTCTCATCATTGATGTTTCTATCTCTCTCTCCCTCTCCCTCTCCCTTCCTCTCTGAAATGAGATTTAGAAGAGAGAGAGGGAAGAGAAAACCATTGCCTTTTTCCTTTGGCCCTCATGGCAGGACATCAAGTCCCACAACTTGAACAGAAAGCAAAATAAAAGGGACACATGGACAAACCACCCAAAAATCAACATGAAAAAAGCAACGTCAATAACTGTCATCAGACAAAGTTCAAGGTAGAAAGGCCCCACACGCCTCTAAGCAAAATACAAATGTTATTTTGCAGAGGTACAAGGTTGCATCTGCAAAAGAAGATGTCCAGTGGCAACCACTGATTGAAAAGCATTCCCATTACCTGTTCAGTACCAAGTGATGATTATTAAAAATGACTAAAGAAGACAATCTAGGTGATGCAAACAAACCGTTTAACTAACACGTCACAGAACACACAAGCTTCTTTTGGAGAACGACCAAATGGGAGACGAAGGCAGAAAGCTTTTATTGAAATCCTCACCCGAGGATATTTTTTGTTTGATTTTTAGAGAGAGTGGAAGGGAGGGGGAGAGACAGAGAGAGAAACATGGATGTGAGAGAGACACATGATTGCTTGCCTCCCGCAGGGCCCTGAACCAGAGCTAGAGCCTGGGATAGAGCCTGCAACAGAAGTACACGCAGGGCAGGCAAATCGAACCCGGGACCCTTCGGTCTGGGAGTCCACACTCTATCCACTGAGCCGAACCAGCTAGGGCAGGCAGAACGCTTTCCAAAATTTCTACATGTAAGATGTAATCTGGAAGTAATGAAAAATTAGAAAAACAACTCCAATACAAAGAACATGCAATGAGCGATTACATGATAAAAAAAAAAGAATCAATAAACATTTCTTTCCAGGATATTCCGCCAACCAAGCACTAACGGATGACTCATTAGCTAATTCTCTCGCTTGCAGCAGCCACACACAGCAAGCAACCTGCTTGAAGGACTAAGCCGAACTCCATTTCCCATGATCCCCTTCGAGCTGTTTCCCATGAAGCCGAGGGCTTCAAACATCTGCTCGTCGAGGCAGTTCAGCCCGCCCGCTTTCTCTTTTCTGGCCATTCAGGATTAGCCACGCCCCCACGCGATCGGTTTCCGGCTTCCGATTGGCTCAGAGCGGAGTCCGGGGGGCTGGGCGTGAAGTGACAGCCGGCGCGGGGGGCGTGGCCACGGCCGCTCAGAAGCTCTACCCGGGCGCCCAGGCACCATGTACCGCGCACTCCGGCT